CAATATTGGTCGTGGTTGCGCTTGGCAGTCACCACATCACATTCCTCTGGAAAGTCGACTAAACCTTGCTCCTCCGCGTAGTCAAGGATGGCCCCGACTGGCTGAGCAAGTGGAGTCAATTGCTTGATGGGCTGTAGCGGTCCGCTCGGGACGTCCGCCTTGTCCTTGCCTCTACTTTTGTTACCTTTGTACTTGTTGTTTTTGTTGCTAGCTTTGCCGTCAGCTTTCTCAGCACCCGAACCGGCTTCCTTCTTCTTTTCTTCTTTTGCACCTTCTTCCTCATCTCTTTTCCTCTGCAAGTCGTCCTCCGCCTCGGATTGCCGGTCGGCACGGCCGAGCGCCTCCTCGTACGAGGTAGGGGGACTTCTGACGAAATCTTTGTAAAGCTCGCCTGATCGGATAGAGTTTGTGAGCATGGCCACCCCGGTCCTGTCATCAAGATCCTGAACCTTGACTGACTCGACCCTCCACCTCGCTAGGAAGGTCGACAATGATTCCTTCTTCCCCTGTTTTAGGCCAAACAGGTGGCTGAAGTTTTTCTTGACGTCTCGGGAGCTCGCGAACCTCAAGAGAAAGCGCTAAGCCAACTCACGAAAATTCGTGATACTCCCATCGGGTAGAGAGTCATACCATTCACGAGTCGTGATACTCCCGTCGGGTTCTCATTAGAACCCGACCCTATATATATATATATATATATATATATATATATATATATATATATATATATATATATATATATATATATATGTTTTGGTTCAAATAAGAACATGATCTTAGGAGAGAAATGAGAACGAATCTGGACTATTAGATTTGCTTTAAGTGAAATTCAATGTGCATTACATGAAACTGTAATGTGCATTAGGTGAAATTGAAATGTGCAAGACAAAGCATACGATACAATGTCATTATATGAAGCTGATTGTGCATTAGGTGAAATTGAAATGTGCACTAGGTGAAACTGAAATGTGCAGAATAAAAGGTACAATGTGATGTTATTTTTGTACATTTTATTCTGCACATTTCAGTTTCACCTAATCCACAATTGAGTTTAAATTTTTATTCTGCACATTTGAGTATCATCTAATAAATATTTTTGTTTCATCAAATGCACAATTCCGTTCCACATAATACAATCCAACGGTCCAGATTCGTTCTTATTTCTCTCCTGGAACCGTTCTTATAGGGAGCGAATCAGATGAGAAGTGCTCTTAGGCTGAGAACTGCGAAGTTTAACTAATAGGCTAAAAACACAAACTTTTAACCGATAAATCATAACTTATAGACCCCGTTGAAAATAATTACGAAAATGCCACCGCAAAAAAATAAGCCTGGAAACCTTGAAAATTTTTGGACGCGGCGGAATTTTCGTAATTATGATGGACAGCTTTATAAGTTATGATTTATTGGTTATAAGTGCCTATATTCAGTCTATAAGTTTACTGCGTTGTAAGATTAGATGCAAATCCAAGGGCTGAGATTGCTTCTCACTCTCATTTTAAGAGAGACTTCTCACCTGATCTTTTCTATATATATGTACATATATATATATATATATATATATATATATATATATATATAGAGAGAGAGAGAGAGAGAGAGAAAAGATGAGGTGTAAGTCCCCCTTAAAATGAGTAGTGAGTAGTAATCTCAACCCTTGGATTTGCATCTAATCTTACAACGCAGTAAACTTAGAGACTGAATATAGGAACTTATAACCAATAAATCATAACTTATAAAGCTCTCCATCATAATTACGGAAATGTCACCGCGTCAAAAAAAATTGAAGGTTTCTGGAGTTATTTTTTGTGGTGGCATTTTCGTAATTATTTTCGAGGGGGTCTATAAGTTATGATTTATTAGTTAAAAGTTTGTGTTTTTAGTCTATAAGTTAAACTTCGCAGTTCTCAGCGTAAGGGCACTTCTCACATGCACAATTCCGTTCCACATAATACAATCCAACGGTCCAGATTCGTTCTTATTTCTCTCCTGGAACCGTTCTTATAGGGAGCGAATCAGATGAGAAGTGCTCTTAGCCTGAGAACTGCGAAGTTTAACTAATAGGCTAAAAACACAAACTTTTATATATATCAGATGAAACTGATATATATATATATATATATATATATATATATGTATATATATATATATATATATGTATATATATATATATATATATGTATATATATATATATATATATATTCTCAGGTCCAGCACCTCCCGGTCCGAACGCCGTCCGAACACCGCCGTTTGGGGCGGTTCCCGGTTGACGTTTTTGATGAAATTTGTTGATCATGTTCCTCATCAAGTCTACTTTATCCATACCAAATTTCAGATGAAACTTCTATCGGGAAAGTAGTCAAATAATTCGTTGAAGTTAACTGTGTTTTTCTGTGTATAATTTGGCGCAGTTAACTTCAACGAATTATTTGACTACCTTACTGATCGAATTTTGACCTGAAATTTGGTATGGATAAACTAGACTTGATGAGGAACATGCTTAAAAACTTTCATAAAAACATTCCGCCGGGAACCGCCCCAAACGGTGGTGTTCGGACGGCGTTCGGACAGAAGAGTGCTGGACATGCAGGAGAATGACTCTATATATATACAAAAGATCAGGTGAGAAGTTCCCCTTAAAATAAGAAGTCAGAAGTAATCTTAGCCCTTGGATTTGCATCTAATCTTACAACGCAGTAAACTTATAGACAAAATATAGCAATTTTTAACCAATAAATCATAACTTATAAAGCTCTAGATCGTAATTACGAGAATGCCACCGCGTCAAAAAATTTTCAAGGTTTCCCGACTTATTTTTTTGCGGTGGCATTTTCGTAATTATTTTCTGGGGGTCTATAAGTTATGATTTATTGGTTAAAAGTTCTTATATTTGTTCTATAAGTTTGACTTCGCAGTTTTCAGCCTAAGGGCACTTCTCACCTCATCCGCTCCTTATACACACACGGAGTATATAATAAATAAATAAATATGTAAATAAATTAATAAAACATAAATAAATAAATAAATAAATAAATAAAAAGGTGATATTTTGCTAAACAGTACTCCTAAACTGCTGTAATTTAAATTTTTCTGAAAATGCTCAGTATTGTTTTTTACTTTTCTTTCGTTTGCTTTTTTCCTTAATAAACGAATCACTATTTCACTCGGTCACTTCTCACCAAACTATATAAATACCCCTTCAAGGCATATGTAGCTTCATCATTCATTTCTTCAAACATACTTAGACAATATAGAAATTACTTAAAATAGGACTAAAACTATGGCAAAAACTTAAAATAGAACTTACTATGTTTTTCTTTTCAAAATAAGACCAAATTAGTCCTATTGAAAACATACCTATTTTTTCCTTCCATTCATACCCTTCCTTTAAATATGAGTTAATTAAATGTCTAATTCATAATAAATTCGAAAAGAAATCAAATATTCGTAGAAAAAAATTTAAAAATTTTATAAAATATTTATAAAATAAAAATTTTTTAAAATATTTTTTTAATTTTTTTTTTTATTTTTTTAAAAAATTAATAAAAAATAGTAAAACTCCATAAAAAATTAAAAAAAAAATTACCTTTCACACCGCCTGTACTACCTCACTGAACCACCATCTCCGGGCGGTGAAAAAAATGCCATTTTTCATAAAAAATTCCATATTTTTCTGAAAATGCCAAAAACATGGCATATTTCTCTTTGAGAATGCCAACATTTTCATTGTTTTCTGCCATAAATATGGCATTTGTAATGAACTTGGCATTTTTTTCTTTGGTGACTGGAAGTGGTGGTGCAGAGGCGGCAGAGGCGGCGGTGAAGTTTATTTTATTTTTTTTAGTTTTTTATTTTTTTTAAAAAAATATTTATTTTTTTTATTTTATGAAAATAAATAAATAAATAAATTATTATTATCGAAATATTTTTTTATTTTTTAGTATTTTTTTGAATTTTTTATTATTTTTTATTATTTTATTATGAATTAAAACATTTCAATAGCTGTAAGGGTATATATGTCCAAGACACACATAATTAGTCCTATGAAATTATAGTTTATTTTTTGGTCCTATTTGTGCAAAGTGAGTGACTTTTAGTCCTATTTTGATAATTAACCCTAGAGAATAGAGAGTGAGTCTTAGTATCCTCTGAAGAAAATATACAGAATAGAGAGATTGCTTGTTTCCCCATTATTAATTTGGAGAAGCTCAACACAGAAGAAAAGGCTAGGGATGTCAAAAAAAACCGACCCGCAATGACCCGCCCTGGCCCGAGACATTTGGGGTGGATCCGCCCCGCCCCGTCTTGCAAATGGGGCGGGTCCGCCCCGCCCCGCCTATACAATGGGGTAGGTCTGGGTATTAGAATTGACTCGTGCCGCCCTGACCCGCCCCGACCCGACCCGACCCGCTGAATATATAAGTATACATACTTTTTCTTAAATTATAGTACTACAAATATACTTCAACATACATATGTGTATATACAATAAATCATAAATTCTTTGATCTTATAATATATGAATACGGAGTATATATTATAATGAGATGTGCGACGGATTATAAATGTCTTCTTTATATATAGAATTTTAATACATATATTCAATTATTAATATAACTAATAAGATTAACTATTAAAGTTTGAGTAATTTTTCCTTAATTTTTGAAATTTTTAGCGTATCATGAATTTGATTTAATATATTGATTTTTAATTATTATTTAGAGATAAACATTATGTAGATTCAATTGTTAACAACTTCCCACAAAAAAATACATACTAGCTAATTAGGTTACGGCGGGGCGGGACGGACCCGCCTCGCCCCGCATGGGGCGGGTCATGGGTCAACAAATTTGGACCCGTGCAGGTCACGGGGCGAGACGGATCCGCCCCGCCAAGTCACGGGGCGGGTCCGGGTCTTGCAATACCCGCCCCGCCCCGACCCATTGTCATGCCTAGAAAAGGCTGCCACTATGGCACAAATAAAAGATGCTTGTGAAAACTGGGGATTCTTTGAGGGTTTTTTAATATCATGATTTTCTTAGCTCTTTTTAATTATTATGTATAACTATATATCCTTATTAGGTGGTGGATCATGGGATTTCAATTGAGCTTATGGACAAGGTGGAGAAGTTGACCAAGGATCACTACAAAAGAAATATGCAACAAAGGTTTGAGGATATGGTGGCTGCTAAGGGGCTCAATGGTGTCCAGAATGAAATTGAAGATCTTGACTGGGAATTGAATCCACTTTCTTCTTGAGTCATCTCCCTTCCTCAAATATCTCTGAAATCCCAGATCTTGCAGATGATTACAGGTATGTAAATATGTAATATATAGAGTAATAATATTGAATACAAATGACAATATCAGTGTGAAACATAATTCTAAAATGTTCTACTCCTATCACAGTAACTTCAGTATCAAACTCAAATTATATTGTAATATGAACGATTAATGTGCATAATATGGAATAACTCGTTTAGAGCCTCTTTGACTATTTTACTATTTATGTCTTCACTTGTCCATTTGGGTTACTTCTGAGGATGGTCATACTAATAATAATACGGAGTAAAATAATAATAATAATAATAATAATAATAATAATAATAATAATATAAATGCTTCCAATATAAAATACAGTGCTTCCCACGTGCATAAACAATTACCTGTGCGTTATTACTAATTTAAACAAGATTCCACAACTAGTTATAATTATAAATTATACGGAGTATAATTCCAAAAATACAGTGGCAACTCCTTAAGTGAAATATCTGATGATATTGTCCCATTATTGTTGAACTCGTGATTATGTATGTAAAAAAACAGGAAGATTATGAAGGAATTTGCAGTGGAGCTTGAGAAGCTAACAGAGAAGCTATTGGAGTTGCTATGTGAGAATCCTGGTCTTGAGAAAAGTTACCTGAAGAATGCCCTCCATGGTTCGAAGGGTCCAAACTATGGGACAAAGGTCAGCAGCTACCCTCCCTGTCCCAAACCAGACCTCATCAAAGGCCTCCGGGCCCACACCGACGCCGGCGGGCTCATTCTTCTTTTCCAGGATGACAAAGTCAGTGGCCTCCAGCTTCTCAAGGATGGCGAATGGATCGATGTCCCCCCGATGCGCCATTCCATTGTCATCAATCTAGGTGACCAGCTTGAGGTACACTCTCATTTAAGATGAAACTCGTCTTAATATGGTATCAGAGTAAAGTCTGCTTGCAGTTTGACTTGAGTAGCCCGTTTGAATAGAAAATTAATAATTCGGGTAGAAATTTATTATTAAATAGAAAATAAAAATACAAAATAAGAAACAAAAAAAAACTAACATATAAGATCCTGAATGTTTGATCAGGTAATCACCAATGGGAAGTATAAGAGCGTGTTGCATAGAGTGATCGTCCAACCCGATGGAAACCGAATGTCACTAGCGTCATTCTATAACCCGGGGAATGACGCTGTGATCTACCCAGCACCTGCATTGGTGGAGAAGGGGGGAGAAGGAGAGAACAAAAAGTATCCCAGGTTTATTTTTGATGACTACATGAAGCTTTATGCTGGGCTGAAGTTCCAGGCCAAGAAGCCAAGGTTTGAAGCCATGAAGTCCATGGAGAGCACTTTGAACACCTCTCCAATTGCCACTGTCTAATTTATTGCTCTTAAG